TTTAAATACGAAATAATTGTTATTTTTACAATTGGGTGCTCTGTGATTTTTCGTTGAAGCACACCAAGAACCCTCGCCGGAGGAGCTAAAAGAGAAATCACTTTAGGCTTCCGTCGTATTAGCCAATGGATCATTGCTGATCCTTAGCATGAAAAAAACTGGATAATCAATCCTTACATCTCAATGCAATATTTGTAAGTTTGTGTATATATGTGTCTGTGCGTATATATATATATATATTTCTACTCATATATACAGACATTTCTGTAATCTGGGCAATCTAAAACCAACAACTCCATACAGGGGCTTTACACGTCACCTTCCACCACAGCACAAGGCCGTACAACAAGTATGGTTATCCCTCTTCAATTTTGATGTTCCCTTTTGATTAATGTCTGAAATTTTATGTTTTCATTTTTTTTTTTTTTTTTTTTTTTTTTTTTTTTATGGTTAAAGAATTTTCCTTATTCCTTTGGTTGGTTTCTAAGAAAATTAAGGAAAGTGAAAGAATTATATAATTGTAACGACCCTCACCCTGGCCAGACACAATATTGTCCACTTTTGGCTCACCCAGACCAGAGACTTCCTAGGGGGTCACCCATCCTGGTACTACTCCAAGTTAAGCACGCTTAACTACAGAGTTCTGATGGGTTCACGGCCATCACGGTTTTAAAACGCGTTGTGTCATAGAAGGGTGTTGAATCTACATATAGCACTTGCCCCATCCACACCCAGACGATGTGGGATTGTGCACCTGTAACTCGCCCAGTGTGGTAGCCTACTGGTGCCCCCTGCACACGCTCACACACACCCGCCCACAAGGTCGCCACAATCACCCCCCTTTTGGGGCCCAACGTCCTCATTGGCCACACTTCCGGCTGGGTCAGGCTCTGATACCATTTGTAACGACCCTCACCCTGGGCAGACACAATATTGTCCGCTTTTGGCTCACCCAGACCAGAGACTTCCCAGGGGGTCACCCATCCTGGTACTACTCCAAGTTAAGCACGCTTAACTACAGAGTTCTGATGGGTTCACGGCCATCACGGTTTTAAAACGCGTTGTGTCATAGAAGGGTGTTGAATTTACATATAGCACTTGCCCCATCCACACCCAGACGATGTGGGATTGTGCACCTGTAGCTTGCCCAGTGTGGTAGCCTACTGGTGCCCCCTGCACACGCTCACACACACCCGCCCACAAGGTCGCCACAATAATTTTATTTACTGGGTCTGTTCTCTGACGTTGTTTTGGTCTCAGATTATAAATCTAATTTTTGTTTTTTTGGTTCAATTTTAAAATTTTGCAGATGCATCTTCCTTCCTTTACAGATCAAAGTCCCAGACTTTGTCACACCACAAGATGAGACTCATCAGCAACCAAACTCAACATTGTGAAATTCCCAAATTGGCTTTGAATCTCAGCTCCAATTTAACTACCACCCCAGCACATGGTTGTTCGTCACTATCCCACAAGAGAACCCTCCGCCGGAGGTGATCGTACTGAACTTCGACGCCACCTCTGTTTCTTCCACAACACCAAAACGCAGGGAACAACGATGACAAATAAGCAAAACGCAGGGAACAACGGCGACAAATAAGCAAGGGAAAGAGACGGTGGTGGAACCTTCATAAACAAATTCTCCGGCGACCAAGCTCTGACCCGAGAATCTGACAAAATTCTCCAGCAAAGGGTCTGGATTCTAGCAGCGATTGGGCCGTGGAGAGGAGTTTTTGACGAGTGATTTGGGATTCGGAGACGATTGGGCGTGGAGAGGAATTTGTGACATAGTGATTTCGGATTCGAAGACGACTTCAGCAAAACGCGGCCTCCCCTTCCCTTTCCTTTTAGGGCTTCAAAGCTTTGAACACAACACACGCTTATATATAATATAACACAGAGTCTAGGGAAGGGGTATTTTAGAAAGAAAAAAAATTGATAAGCGCGTGTTGGTCACGCGCTGCTACCCAAACCCTAGGTTAACGGGTTTGAATGGAAGTAGGACAACGCGCTGCTACCCAAACCCTAGGTTAACGGGTTTGAATGGAAGTAGGACAATGTGATGACGATTTATAATTGAAGGGGGTGTTTAATTTTTGTGGGGACAATTTGATCCAAAATGAAAATAGAAGAAAGTTATGTGATTTTTTCCCTAAAAAAAAACATTGAAACTCAAATTCCACGTCCCCATTCCATATAAGTGAACTAAGCTTTGCATCCCTGGGCAAATGAAACTGCCATACACCCCTCAGATAAAACAAACCTCTGCAATAAGGTCTTATCATTATACCAAGGATCAAGAAAAAAGATGAACTCATTCCCTGTACGGATCAGAAATCCCCAATCTTGCACCATAACATCATTGGCAGCCATGCAACTGCCCCCATGCAACAGATCTAGAATAAGATGGAATAGCCAACCAATAGAATGACCATTTATGCCATGTTTGGTTGTATCGAATTGGCAGATAAAATTTGAAATTGTAAAAAAATTAGTATACTCATGTTGTATTTGGAATCCCAAGATTTTATGAGAATTGAATTTTATAAGGGACTTGTTTTGTTTGGAAGATTTAAAAAAGGAATTGGGGTTTGTAGGGATTTGATAAGAAAAGTTGTAATGTAAAAAAATTTGGGAAAAAATAGAAAGAATTTGAAGGGAAATGTTAACTAACCTTTGAATTTTGGGATTGTAGAAATTAGTATCTTCACGCGGTGTTTGGAATCCCAAGATTTTATGGAAATTGGATTTCAAAGGGACTTGTTTTGTTTGAAACAATGGAATTTAAAAAAGGAATTGGGTTTGTAGGGATTTGATAAGAAAAATTGTAATCTAAAGAAATTTGGGAAAAAATTGAAGTAAGTTAAAGGGATTTGTTAACTAACCATTGAAGTTACAAAAATAACCCTTCTACCACAGCTACAAACTGCCCTGTTCTACAAACTAATTTTTTCACCTTTTTAAATCCATTATCAAACTTCCCTGTTGTACAAACTACTTCTTTCACGCTTTTAAATTCCTTATCCAAAATCGTACAATTTTTTTTTTTTATTCTCAAATTTCTTTTTACAAATTCCAATTTATTCCAAACTTAAAATAAAATCTTATTTTAATTACAATCCAATTCCTTTTCCAATTGTATTTCCAAATTTAAAAAAAAAAAAAATTTTCTCGAATTCCAACTCCAAAGCACTACCAAACATAATATTTTACTTCATTTGGTGTATAGAAATGAAATGAAATGCAAGTGGGAATGGAATGAGAATGGGTATGGAATGGAATGACCATTCTCATTCTGTTGTTTGGTTGTAAATATGAAATGTGTTGAAATGAAATGATAATAAACACTCTAGTGTTTAGTTGAACCAATTTAAAATTTAGATTGGAATAAATTTCAAATTAAGTACTCCAAAATATCGTATTAGTAACAAATATATTAAATAAATAAAATGACATTCTTCTATAATTTTAAAAAAATAAATGGTGGCAATGGCGGTGGTTGATGTACGGTCTCATGATCAACAAAATATAAGTGTATTAATATGGTAATTGAGAATACCAACTTTTAAATTTATAAAAGCCACTACATAACTATACGTGAGTATAGTGAGTAGAGATCATTTACTGGGATTATGGGCTTGAAATGAACTTAGTATCAATGAGCGTGAGATTAAAAAGATGTTAATTGGTTTATTAAACTATTGATGAAATTCAATTAAATGTAAATAGTAAATTAGATTATATGCATAACTTGTTCGTTTTAAAACCTTAGCTTCCATGTTGTATTTTTTTGAGTTCCGTGACTTATCGGGAAATTACTTTGGAGTCTTAAAGGTGGTATGCATTTTTAGAGACCATTTATTTATTTTATTTTTTCGCTTTCGCGTTTGGGATCTTTTTTCGGATCAGTTTCGGGACACTCACTAATGCATCGAGTTTTATAAAACTTGTGCGGTCACAACAATTGTTTTATAATTTTAAATTTAAAAATTAATTTTGAACTAAGAATGTGTTTTAAGTCTATTTGGAATAAAGTTTTGGTGCAGAAAGAAATCAATAAAAGGTGATTAAATTTTAATATACTAGGTTTAAAAAGGATAAATTATTATTAAATTTTGATATTTAATGAATTTTGTCTTTGTCATTACATTCTCTTAAACGAGTGCAAAGTGCAATAGCATAAAATTATTTTTTTATAACAAATTAGAGAAATTAAAAACAGTATTGAGAACATCTTGTTTGAGATAATTTTATATGGGAAATAATTTTTTTTTTTCTTCATAAAAACCATTAATTTGAAAACTAAGAAAAAAATTATAGTATAGTGAACGGACCTAAAAATAATTGGTACCGAGCTACCATAAGCAATGAAAGTTTTTTTTGTTTTTTAATAAAATAAAAGCAATAAAAAGTAAATAATGCTATTATCTTAATTTCTAAGTTTGGTATAAATTATAATTTTTCTCAAAATAATAATGTTATTAATTAATAAATTAATATGATCTCATTATAAAGTTTAATCATCTGAATTTATAAAGTTTCGAGTGTGCATGAATTATACGGTGATTGATAAATTGGTGTATTGTACCAGCGCCACTCCAACGCTTATTTTATTACAAACCCGAGAAGCATTCAATCTCTCCCTATATAGTTAACAAGATCATCATACCATCTTCCCTTCTGGCCATCGGATGCACTCCCACTTCAATTTCGTACCCATCAACGGTCTTCATCTAGCTAACACATACACCACCACCGCACATAAATTTACCCTCGGACCATGAGAGCCGAAACCCCAGTCAACAGCATGACGTCAGCTTGTGATGACCAATTAATTACTTATACCGCTCTCAACCAAAAATATCGGGTACGGACCCGGAATCTCAAAGCAAAGGTAAATAAAACCGAGCGGGGTCCGCTGCTCATAATTACTAGAGGAAGAGAGAGAAAGAGTTACACTAGGTCAAATGTTGCTATAAAGACCTCTGAAACGTCTAGGACAATTTTTTTTTTTAAAAAAAAAAAAAAACGTTAGGACAATTTTACTTTTCGCTAAGAACCTGCTAGGGTTTCTTTGTTTTGGGATCACGAGTTTTGAAGTCTGTAAAATAAATGTGAGATTCACGATATTTTTTAGGGCAAATCATTTCAGCTCTCCAATCGCCTCCATCTCTATTCTCGTTCTCAACTCTGAACTTGCCCCCTCCCTCTCTCTGTAACTGCAAACTACAAAAACTACAAGAATCAGAAGTTCAAAACCCATATAGTTCAGTTTTATCTATCTGTCTGCAAGAATCAGAAGTTCAAAACCCATATCGGCATATGATTTCAGATTGTTCAAAAAATCAAAACCCATACCTTTCAGTTTCCATCGCCCGCTGTTCCAGTTCGGGTTCCCCGTTCGCAAGCTTCAGCAACTGGCTCTCAACTCTCAAGCTTGCCCCCCTCTCTCTCTGCAACTGCTAACTTGTATGTATGGGTTTTTTTTTCTTTTCTAAATCAACTAATCAAGCTCTGTAATTCTTGTTTTGCAAACTAAATCCTATTGGTGAAATATTTTATGATCTTTTTTAAATAATTTTTTTTTTTTACAGTATAAAGTAACAAAATTTGCATTGCATTTTGAGGTAATCCCCGTAATCTATATATATATTTGTTTTTATAACTTCTATTTCTGTAATTTTTTTTATTTTATTTTTTATTTTGTGTCAATTTAGTCTTACAATAAAATTTTAATCTGGGCATGAAAAAAGAAAAAAAAAATCTGAATTGGATTAGAAATCTGCAGAGATTGAATCTGAAAGAATTTTTATCAAAATGCCAAGCTTTTTGAAGATGGAATTCTTTTCAGAACTAAAAAAAAAAAAAAAATCATAACAAGAACTTTGACAAGCAAAAGTGCTTAATATAGGGTAAAGCTCTAAAGTTACTTCTTGAAAATTAAAATACTTACAAAAAGCATGCTTTTGAGTGAATTCCATAGTGTTGGAAGGGGGCTTGCCATGAACTACCTCACACTCTGCTTCCACTAGTAGATTCTCAAATAGGATTAGTAAATTGGTCAAAAGAAGAGATAGGGTACTGAGTGGTGAATTGTTCAGAAAAAAATTGGTAATTTTTTTTATTAATTATCCAAATAGGATTTTCTATGCCTTAATCAGTCAATTGTCTAAAGAAACATTGTTAGTTAACTAAAATTGAATTAAATAACAGTTGATTTTGGTTGATATATTTTGATTTGGCCCACCCAATTGAGAAATCCGGGATGTTTTGTTTCACATAGAAATACAGTCTGTGTAATGTTTGAAGGATATATTCAATCTTGCCATATTTTTATTTTCAAATTTTGGTTTTTGATTTTCTTTTGTTATTAGAATCCAGAATATCAGGGTATTGATTTGTTAATTTTGAAGATTATTCCTAAACTGATGCATTGTACTTTGTTATTGGATTAACTTAACATAAGAGCTGAGTATAATATATGCTAATCACACCTATCCGTAATTACACCTCTTTCTACGGATAGGTGTCCAACATTTCGATTGAAAGCATAGTTGGGTTGGGTTAATACATGATACAAATAATACTTAGATGGTAGTGTTTTAATTGTTATGAGTGAGATTGTGAAACCTCTTCCACACAACTTGAGTGTTTTCTTATTTTTAGGGTTAGCATCGGGCCTTAACATTTAGCAAGAACAAGGTTCGAGAAACATGCCTCCTCAGTCATCAGGTAACAAACTCTTACTTTTTCTAAAATTTTAATTGGCGTTTTTAGCTATTGGTTACGTTTATTTATTATGTTTCACATACGGATTTTTTGTTTTTGTTTTTGTTTCTACATTCATTATATAATATTGTTAGGGTTAATTATACTCACACCCCCTGAGGTTTAACTTATTGATAAATAGATGAAACTTAACCCCCTTTTGAACAATCACATCCCCTCAAGTTTGCTAAAGTTAACAAAGACACCCCTACCACATCTGACACAGTGTGAATTGATTATTTTGCCCTTTGACTTATTAATTGTCCTATTTAAATAATAAAATTACCTTTTTAACCATCACACCCACCGCCACCACTCATAGCCCCACCACCGCTTCACACCCCTCCACACCCGCAAATACATAAATCATCAAATTCATCCTGTATATAGATATATTATATATACACATATGTAAAAGTCCCATTAGAGAGAGTCACACACAAACACAAACGAATAATATATAAAGATATATATTTCTATATTAGAAATCATTTACTTGGATGCTTGTGTTTCTGTATATCTATATATTGTTTGTATGATTGTTGAAGGATATATGTATATTTGCTGAAAAGGAAAGTTAAAGAATTGAGTGTTTTTTTTTTTTTTTCCCTTCTCAAAAGGTAAGAATTGAGTGTGTTTGTGATCACATATACGTACATACGCACAAACACATACCAAGAAGAACAATCACACGTTAGTCACACACACAGATAATTAATACACAAATATAATACACAATGAAGAGTCGTTGGTCATCAATTTAGAATCTTGAACGCCGGGAAAGCTCCGACCTAAATTCGAAGAAACAGCAAGAAGAACAATGAGAGGAACAATTCCTTCATTGTCACCTCCGCCGCAGTCTGCAAACCATAAATCAATCCGAATTCCTTTAGAAAATTTCACAAACCCTAGTTCATTGGAACTTTCACCGCTGCAATCCACTTCCTACTTGTACTGCCCATCTACAACCAACCTCCTCCTCCTTACTCTCACAGCGGCTTATTGGGCCACCTATAGGCACGGTCCGCACAGATCAACCATGTTGGTAATGATAAGAAAGATGGTGATACGGTAATCACCGGTGGGTGGAGAGCGATGGTGGCAGTGGGTGCAGAGATATGGTGGCTGCGATCATGATTGAATAGAGATGGTAACGATGGGTGAAGAGAGATGGTGGTGGTGGGTGGAGGCGGCAGCCGTTGTTGAGGAGAGATGGTGGCAACCAGTGGAGAGGGAGGGGAAGAGAAGCTGTGGGCGTCGCTGGGTAATTACGGACAGAGGACTTCAATTAATGGGGACAAATTTGTCATTTTACAAATTGAGATATATATTTTTATTTTTATTATTAAAATGAATTAAAGATTGGGGGCAAACTCGTCTTTTTTTGCATTTTAAAGGCTTGTTTGGATGATATTTTTGACATGAGGTGTGCATGTTAAAAAATGAGCCAAGTTTCATCTAGCTGTTAATAGAACAAACCTCAGGGGGTGTGAGTGTAATTAACCCATATTGTTATGATGTGATACTCAAACAATTTATTAATGGGAATTAAAGACTTGGAAGTTTAGTTTTTAATTTCAGAATATATGTTTTACAAGTTTATTAACGCCTTTAAAACTTTTTCTCTTTTGTCCTAATAATATAGGTTTCTTTTCTAAAAGAAGAGAGTTGATGGGAATGGGTGGTGTTGGCAAAAAGTAAATAAGGTATGTTTTTTTTGCCTAGCTAATTGAATTATATAAATACCCTTATTGTTGTAGCAGTGATGTTGTTTTTAAAATGACTAATTATGATAGGAAGTCTCTTTTCAGTTTGTCTTAATCAAATGTATCTTTATGCAAGAGGATTACGTGATTCTAGATGACGATTCTAGGTGAGGATGTTAATGTCAACGTTATGAGGATGTTGATGTCAACGTTGACTCTAGTGATGACGACTGATGATGTTGATAATATGTTGATGCACTTAAATTAAGTCAAAGCACTCAGAATTGAAGGAAATTTAGAGTTGAAGACATACTATTGAGCCTAGTGTCTAATTCTTTTAGTTTCAAGAATATTTGGTTACTTCAGACACGATTTTTCAGTTCCTGAAATTCTGAAACAATGGTGTGCAATATGATTTATCTACTTGGGCTCTCATCTTTTTCATCTCTCTAAACCCTAATTTTATCTGTGAAAAAGAAAAAGAAGAGACAATGCAATTTTAATTTAATTTGTCACTGAATCGAGTGGAATCGGAAAAAAGATAGGTTTGTTTTTGGGACTGTTATTTTGTTAATTAAGGTGCTTTATTATATTTGTTTTCTTTCTTATGTATTTGAAAATATTTCAAAAATAATTTGTGTGACTAATGTGCTAGATTTGTCTGAAACATGCACTAATGAAGGGCTTAACCAAGTCAAATTTTGACGGTTTTTGTAGCTTAACCAAGTCAAATTTTGAGCCAATCTAATGCTCTAAGAAGTAAAAAATATAGAGTACGAAGGGCTTATGTTACAATCAGATCACTCTATTAAAATTTTGAGCATTACTTGTCGGTTCTTATTGATACCCAAAAAAAAAAAAATAAGGAGCAAGTACAATAGTATAAGCATGCATCTTTTGTTCTACAAGCTTGAATTTCTTCTTAAAGCGTTTCTATCATTACCATCCTGATATTTAAGAATTTTCTGTTTAGTTATCTCCCTTACTTTCAGCACTTTTTTTTTTTTTTTTTTTTGGTACGTTGGTAAGAAACACAATCACACCGCCACACTTGGCCCTATGGGGTCTTGAACCCTTGACTTTCTACTTTAGAAGGACTAAACAAAAATTAACCATAATCTCTTTAATTATTTCAAGAGCACCCATAATATTAACCAAAGTGCTGTTATGGATATGATATTAGGTACTGTCACTTGCAAAAAAAGCTCAAACTCAAAGCTTCACTATATAAACTTGTAGCCTCCAATTCGTACGGTTTTGCATTGTTTGATTATTAATTACCTCATCTTCTTGCATTTTAGTACTAGTATAGAAAATGAGTTGCATCTATGCACCCAACTATAATTTAGTTGCAGACAAGTTTCATTCACACTTGAAACATTATTTTTTATGACTAGTTTCCAACAGGATATTAACTCGACCATCCCGTTGGTTATTCCAAGTAAAAGGATAGCCTGCATAACCTAAATCACCCAAATTGCATATCTCTATCAAAGATTGGAATGAACGCAAACGCCACCTTGTCTTAACTAGCCCATCACACTTCTCAGATGTATAAAGAATATCATTAATCACTTATAAGCACTAATTGCGTCGTCCAAAATTGAGACTGTTGTTCTAAATATTTCCATTGTGATGCACGAATGGTGTCAATTGTACTTGAATAAATTATGGAAAGGTCCTAGGTGTTTTATTTTGCGGGTGAACCAAAGCTTTAATATGAAAATTATTCTGGTCCAGCACCTCTAAGTGAACCGCATCTTTCCACCAGAGGGCAATGCCACCCGCATGATCCACCGGATTAGTTAAACAGGCATTATTAAACCGAAGGACCAATTTAAGGTGATCCATCCGTCTCCGACCATTTTTTGTTTCAAGAAGTGCAAAAATCATCGAGGAATGCATTTTTTGTAGTTGGTTGTGATTGGGTTACCCCTCTCTTGACAATTCCAACAATAATTCGCAGGGGACTATGTTTGGGGGCAATTACATTCCCAAAATTATGTGTTGGATGCTCTGTACATGTAGGACCGTGTCTTGACGAGGAAGCACTAGAAACATAAAATGAACAACGATGTCAGAGCATGTTTGGTTTGTAACTCTGAAAACAGTTCTCAAGAATTCAGAGAACAAAAATCTGTTTTTCGAGAACTATAAAAGACAAGTTTTATGAAAATAAGTCTTTTTATAACTGAGTTCTCAAAAAATTGAATCAGAATTTTTTGTACAATTTTCTATTTTTAGTCTATTCTCAGAGTTGCAAACCAAGCAGAAAAAATTCACACAAGTCTCCACACAATTGAGTCGCTGGCCTTATATTGCATGGATCCACGGCCTACTGTTTCTCCAACCCGTAAGTAACTGGGTCCAGTGCTGTATTTGGACTCACTTGACCATTAGGAAGTGGCCCAATGAAATTTTGGTCACCACTATACAATGCTATAACAATTGGACTACGCTAATTCATGGCCAATCCTTTATATACCCTTATATTTGTGGCCATTGGATCACATCAAATTTGATCCAATGGCTATTATTATCAAAACCCTTATATTGTTTGGGTCATGAATCTCACATTTTGCTCCACACCGCTACTTTGAGATTCAAGAGGCTGCTCGTCTGCTATTCAAGAAATTCCAAAAATTGCTCCAACAATGGCAACGAAAGCTCTCCTGTTTGTACGTAGATTTTGGAATCTACCAATTCCCTCCCCCATGTTGAGACATTCTTCTTCTCTTTTTTCTACCACCATGACACCATTTCTGGACAAATGGAAGCCTCTCCATCCCATTCCACCTAATCCTAATGTGCATTTTCGGTGGTTCCCCCATTTTTCGGTTTTTCATCTCTGCCATTGTCCCCAATTTTCGGTGGTTCAGCATTTTTCGGTGGTTCAGTGCTGAACCGCCGAAAAATTGGAACACTGGCACAGATGAAAAACCGAAAAATGGGGACACTAGCATATCTGGTAATCTCTTGACTTCATTATTGTTTATATAGTATTTTCTGAATATTTGGTTGACGGTCTTGCATTCTTTAGAAGGGTTTGGACATGAATCACCACAAAATGGGGATACTGGGGGAAAAGATTCTGCACAAAACACTTATGGTAATCTCTTCACTTGTTTAGTTGATATTCTGAATATTTGGTTGACGGTCTTGCATTCTTCTGAAGGGTCTGGACATGTACCAAATGGGGATACTGGGGAAATGATTCTGCACAAAATAGATCTGGAAATTTTTTCACCTCATTGTTATTTCCTTCATTATTGTTTATATAGTTAAATATTTATCAAAAAAAAAAATTGTTTATATAGTTAAATAATGATTTAATATTTCACCTCATTGTTATTTACTTCATTGTTGTTTATATATTTAAATAATGATTTAATATAACAAAACTTTCCCTGAATATTTGGTTGACATTGGTCTTGCATTCTTCAGAAATGTCTGGACAAGCTAATTCAGGTAGCCTCTTCACTTCTACTATGACAAACCACAAAACCCTCACTCTCTGTGCATTTATTATTACATAGGCGGGGGCATAATGTTCATACATATATTAATTATCTAAATTTATTACTTCTCAGGAGGATCTGATGATGGAAGATCTGATGATGAGTTCAAGTTCAACACTACCTTTGGTAATCTTGTCTATTAAACCTATTCTTTACTGAATTCTATATTACTTCTATATTGAAATAAATTGTAATTAAAACCGTAAACCTTTAAAACACAATTGGCATCAAGAATTTGGAAACGGTAACTCTAGCCACCTCTGCAGCTGATATTCCCACCCTTTGTGATGTCTTGCATTACTCTCATCCCATGGGGCCCAAAACACTGCAGTGAACACCATCACCACTGCTTTTATCTTATTCTCAGTCACTTTGTCCCCAAGCATTCTAGCCTTTCTCCGAGATCCTGTGTCTAGGGCTGATCAGTTCCTTACCAATCGTATGACTAGCTCCTCTAAACAGTTTGGTATAATAGCCAACAGTCCACTTTAATATCATACTCGGAGAGGATGTGGTCTCTCTCTAACAGACTACTTCAAGTGTTTAGCATTGACTTATTATAATTACATTTTTCAGGGCATTTTCAATTTGTTATCTGTTACTTTTTGCATGTGTTTTCAAATTGGGTAATTTTTTTTATTTTTTTTGATAAGAATAAAAACCAGATTATTATTAATAACCGAGCGTTAGTCTAGTATAAACATTGGTCAGTTGAGTCATGTGTAGTGTTGGGAGTTTATTGAAGTCATATTATGGATTTTAGAGTTTGTAAATATGGAATTTGAAGAGTTGACAAGTTTTGACATTCCAAGCTTATGATTATTATTTTTGCCCTTTACCATATATATAAATTGTGAGAGGGAAGTGCAGCCATTGCACATAAACCTTCAATTAAATTCATGTTCCTTGGTTATTTTGCAAACTTAAATTAAAGATTATACTTCAAATTTTGATTTTGATTTTTTTTTTTTTTTTTTTGTTATTTGAAAATTGTTCTATTGGAGCTTGCGGTTCAATTTATTTATGGAAGAACAATGGCTGTGATCACACATGATAAGGCCTCTTCTAATCTACCTCTATGATTCTTCTCCATATCAATAATTTGTCTGTTGAAATAGAGGGTTACCTGATACCTATAATATATATCTGGCAGACTGGCTTCTTGGAAATGTTGTCTATTTAGTGAAATTTAGTGAAATGTTTGACTATCGAATGTGATTTTATTCAAGATCTAAATTTGATGTAGAAGAAATAGATCTGCTTTTCAGAATCTCTGAATCTTCAATTATGCTCCAATTCCGATGAGATAGAGAACAACACTACTAAATCACTCTTGTGTTTGTGTGTGTGCTCTAAAAAATAAAATCAGAAAAATCAGATTTGATTTTCTGAAAAATATCTCTCAAAAGGCTCTCTCTAAATAATGAATTTTTGTTCTTAAAAGTCATACCTCAATGTTGAATGAAAGAGAGATTATACAGAAGTTTGGAAGACCTAAGAATACTTGGAAAGACCTAAGAATACTTGGAAATCAAGTCAAATTCGTGCATAGGATTTTGGAAGGAAGTCTATACCAAATAGGAATCAAAACAGATCAGGAAACTAAAGTTACCAAAGCTGTCTGAAGACCTTAAATCGGTTCAAGAAAGTATAATCAGTTCAAGATGGCCAGTGTAAAATTTGAAGAATCCTTTTAATTCTTGAACCGGTTCAAGATTGTTGAACTGGTTTAAGATGACCAGTCTTGAAAATCTCCACAGAGCCTCAAATATTGAACCTGTTCAAGTTGGGCAGAATCTAAAAACTTCCTAAAAGTTGTGTTTCAACCTTCCAAAACTTCCTAAATGTTCTTACATACTCTTATACCTTTCTAAAGCATTGTTCTCATCATTCAGTGTGTATTAAAGTATGAACGCTTGAATTTCTTCAAATCTACTTCTGATCTTCAATCTTGAAATTCTGAATCAAAATTTTACAACTTGATCGGGCTTGTTTTGACAACGAAATTAGTCAATTACAAAATGTATATCTCACACTCTAGCTTTTAACTCGAAATTATGCACTTCAAAAGTTTCTGTAGGACTTAGCAGTAGTGACGACTAATGTGACTAGACTAAAACATTATATTTTTGCCATGATAACAAGAGCCTTAAGCTTGGCTTGTAGTATTAGGCCCACCTTTGATGTAAATTAGTTATATTAAACATAAGTTATGATATATATTAAATATATAAATTTTTATAAAACCTTAAAATGAACTGCGATGAACAATTTGAGGTAAAATTAGTATAAATCATGGAGTATGAACCTGAACCAGACTCAACCAGTTGAGGTGATTTATAACTAAGTGAGCTATATATATATAATTGGGCTGTCTAAAAATTAAAAAGATAATAATAATAATAATTCTCTTTCATTAGCCATTAACATAATATCAAGAAAATATTAAAAAAAGAAGAAGATTAATGTAAAATGTGTATAGACCTAGGTGAAATGGAGGTTATTGGACCAATGTCAGGCACTAGTTAAAAATTTGAAAGATTGTAAAACCCTTCCTCAAACTAAAGAGTAATTTTACATCCCCACTTGCAATTTATTTATCTTAGCAAAAATTGCTACTTATGCACCAAACCTTGTGATTAGTTTTAAAAGCAATATAATTATGCACCAAACCTTATAAGAAAGTGGCCCAATGAAATTTTGGTCACCACTGTATAATGCTATAACAATTGGACTACACCCCGCCTACCTTTTTATATACCTATTTGTGGCCATTGGATCAAATTTGATCCAATGGCTATTATTATCAAAATCTTGATAATCCCTAGTAACTACAGGGCACAATCTTAGACACCGCCCTCATTGTTTAGGAGCTCCTTTGAGATTCAAGAGCTGCTCCTCTGCGATTCGAACAATGGCAACGAAGGCTCTGCTGGTTGTACGTAGGTTCCGTCGTCTACCAATTCCCTCCCCTATGTTGGGACGTTTTTCTTCTCCCATTTCTCCCATTCCTAGCATGACACCATTTAAGCCTCTCCATCCCATTGCACCTCCCATTCCTGTGCTTTTTTGCTGGTTCAGTGCTGAACCACCCAAAAATGGGGACGCTAGCAGATCTGGTAATCTCTCGACTTCATTATTGTTTATATAGTTGATTTTCTGGTTGACGGTCTTTTGTATTTTCAGAAGGGTCTGGACATGAGTCACCCCAAAATGGGAATACTGGGGGAAAGGATTCTGCTAGTTCTGGTAATGTCTTCACTTGTTTATGTAGTTGATTTTCTGAATATTTTGGTTGACAGTCTTTTCTTCTGAAGGGTCTGGAGACGTACCACCAATTGGGGATAATACTAGGGAAAATGGTTTTGCACAAAATACATCTTGTAATTTCTTCACCTCGTTGTTGATTTATATAGTTAAATAATGATTTAGTATTTCACCTCATTGTTGATTTATATACTTAAATAATGATTTATTATTTCACCTCATTGTTATTTACTTCATTGTTGATTTATATAGTTAAATAATGATTTAATATAACAAAACTTTCCCTTAGTATTTGGTTGACAGTGGTCTTGATATCTTTGGAAATGTCTGGACAAGCTAACTCAGGTAGCCTCTTCACTTCTACTATGACAAACCACAAAACCTTCACTCTCTGTGCATTTATTATTACATAGGCGGGGGCATAATGTTCATAAATTTATTAATTATCTAAATTTATTACTTCTCAGGAGGAGGATCTGATGATGGAGGATCTGATAATGAGTTCAAGTTCAACATTACCTTTGGTAATCTTGTCTATTAAACCTATTCTTCACTGAATTCTATATTACTTCTATATTGAAATAAATTGTAATTAAAACCGTAAACCTTTAAAGCACAATTGGCATCAAGAATCTGGAAACAGGTAACTCTAGCCACCTCTGCAGCTGATATTCCCACCCTTTGTGATGTCTTGCATTACTCTCATCCCATAGGCCCCAAAACACTGCAGTGAACACCATCACCACTGCTTTTATCTTATTGTCATTCACTTTGTCCCCAAGCATTCTAGCCTCTTTCTCCGAGATCCTGTGTCTAGGGCTGATCGGATCCTCACCAATCGTATGACTAGCTCCTCTAAACAGTTTGGTATAATAGCCAACAGTCCACTTTAATATCATACTCGGAGAGGATGTGTTCTCTCTCTAACAGACTACTTCAAGTGTTTAGCATTGACTTATTATAATTACATTTTTCAGGGTATTTTCAATTTGTTATCTGTTACTTTTTGCATGTGTTTTCAAATTGGGTAATTTTTTTTTTTGATAAGAATAAAAAACAGATTATTATTAATAACCGAGCGTTAGTCTAGTATAAACATTGGTCAGTTGAGTCATGTGTAGTGTTGGGAGTTTATTGAAGTCATATTATGGATTTTAGAGTTTGTAAATATGGAATTTGAAGAGTTGACAAGTTTTGACATTCCAAGCTTATGATTATTATTTTTGCCCTTTACCATATATATAAATTGTGAGAGGGAAGTGCAGCCATTGCACATAAACCTTCAATTAAATTTATGTTCCTTGGTTATTTTGCGAACTTAAATTAAAGATTATACTTCAAATTTTGATTTTGATTTTTTTTTTTTTTTTGTTATTCGAAAACTGTTCTATCGGAGCTTGTGGTTCAATTTATTTATGGAAGAACAATGGCTGTGATCACACATGATAAGGCCTCTTCTAATCTACCTCTATGATTCTTCTCCATATCGATAATTTGTCTATTGAAATAGAGGGTTACCTGATACCCATAATATATATGGTAGACTTGCTTCTTAGAAATGTTGTCTATTTAGTGAAATTTAGTGAAATGTTTGACTATTGAATGTGATTTTATTCTTGGTACGGATTTTTTTTTTTTGATAAGTAATTTTATTCTTGGTACAGATACCGTGGTGTGGATCCAATTTGTAGCTCTGGTGGTGGGCGGATTGTCTTTAGGCCTGCAGTATCTCACCTACCTTGACGAATATGAATCAAAGAAGCTGGCAAGAGAATCTTTAATGCAGGGGGAGAATCTGTAAAGCAGCTGAAAACGATGGTAGACACTCTTGGTAGAATTGAGCTGCAGGGAAAGACCTCTTGGTGGAATCGCTTTTTGGGGCTTTTTCGGTAAGTTGTTGTGGTTCTATCTTTTACTTATGAAGACATGAGACTTAATTCTCATCTTGGATTCTGTATTATTTTGTGTGCAAGTTGGCAGTCGGTTAGACCAATCGTTTATATACCCTTATATTTGTGGCCATTGGATCAGATCAAATTTGATCCAATGGCTATTATTATCAAAATCCTTATATTGTTTAGGTCATGAATCTCACATTCTGCTCCACGCCGCTCCTTTGAGATTCAAGAGGCTGCTCGACTGCTATTCAAGAAATTCCAAAAGTGCTCCAACAATGGCAACGAAAGCTCTCCTGTTTGTACGTAGATTCCGGAATCTACCAATTCCCTCCCCAATGTTGAGACGTTCTTCTTCTCTTATTTCTCCCACCATGACACCATTCTTGGACAAATGGAAGCCTCTCCATCCCATTCCGCCTAAATCCTAATGTGCATTTTCGGTGGTTCCCCCATTTTTCGGTTTTTCTTCTCTGCCATTGTCCCCATTTTTCGGTGGTATACTAGGGAAATGATTCTGCACAAAATAGATCTGGTAATTTCTTCACCTCATTGTTATTTACTTCATTGTTGTTTATATAGTTAAATAATGATTTAATATAACAAAACTTTCCCTGACTATTTGGTTGACAGTGGTCTTGCATTCTTCAGAAATGTCTGGACAAGCTAATTCAGGTAGCCTCTTCACTTCTACTATGACAAACCACAAAACCCTCACTCTCTGTGCATTTATTATTACATAGGCGGGGGCATAATGTTCATACATATATTAATTATCTAAATTTATTACTTCTCAGGAGGATCTGATGATGGAAGATCTGATGATGAGTTCAAGTTCAACACTACCTTTGGTAATCTTGTCTATTAAACCTATTCTTTACTGAATTCTATATTACTTCTATATTGAAATAAATTGTAATTAAAACCGTAAACCTTTAAAACACAATTGGCATCAAGAATCTGGAAACAGGTAACTCTAGCCACCTCTGCAGCTGATATTCCCACCCTTTGTGATGTCTTGCATTACTCTCATCCCATAGGGCCCAAAACACTGCAGTGAACACCATCCCCACTGCCTTTATCTCATTCTCAGTCACTCTGTTCCCAAGCATTCTAGCCTCTTTCTCTGAGATCATGTGTCTAGGGCTGATCAGATCCTCACCAATCGTATGACTAGCTCCTCCAAACAGTTTGGTATAATAGCCAACAGTCCACTTCAAGTGTTTAGCATTGACTTATTGTAATTACATTTTTCAGGGCATTTTCAATTTTTTATCTGTAACTTTTTGCAAGTCCACTTCAAGTGTGTAGCATTGACTTATTGTAATTACATTTTTCAGCGCATTTTCAATTTTTTATCTGTAACTTTTTGCATGTGTGTTTTCAATTTTAATTTATTTTTTAATTTATTTTAATTAAGTTATTTATTTATTTATTTATTTTGATAAGAATAAAAACCAGATTATTATCAATAACCGAGTATAAACCTTGGTCAGTTGGATCTTGTGTAGTGTTGGGAGCTTCTTGAAGTCATATTATGGATTTTAGAGTTTGTAAATATGGAATTTGAAGAGTTGACAAGTTTTGACATTCCATGCTTATGATTATTATTTTTGCCCTTACCATATATAAATTGTGAGGGAAGTGCAGCCCACTTAAACTTCAATTAAATTCATGTACCTTGGTTATTTTTCGAACTTAAATTAAAGATTATACTTCAAATTTTCATTTTGATTTATTTTTATTTTTATTTTTTGTTATTTGAAAACTTTTCTATTGGAGCTTGTGGTTCAATTTATTTATGGAAGAACAATGGTTGTGATCGCACATGATAAGGCCTCTTCTAATCTACCTCTCCGTTTCTTCTCCATATCAATAATTTGTCAGTTGAAATTGAGGGTTACCTGATACCTATAATATATATGGTAGACTGGCTTCTTAGAAATGTTGTCTATTTAGTGAAATTTAGTGAAATGTTTGACTATTGAATGTGATTTTATTCTTGGTACAGATACCGTGGTGGATCCAATTTGTAGCTCTGGTGGTGGCCGGATTGTCTTTTGGCCTGCAGTGTCTCACCTACCTTGACGAATATGAATCAAAGAAGCTGGCAAAAGAATCTTTAATGCAGGGGGAGAATCTGTAAAGCAGCTGAAAACGATGGTAGACACTCTTGGCAGAATCGAGCTGCAGGGAAAGACTGAGCTGCAGGGAAAGACCTCTTGGCGGAATCGTTTTTTGGGGCTTTTGTTGGTAAGTTGTTGTGGTTCTATCATTTACTTTGAAGACATGAGACTTAAATCTCTTTTTGGATTCTGTATTATTTTGTGTGCAAGTGTACCAGTCGGTTAGACTGAAGATGAAAGATGAATTTAAAAATAGACGATGTATTATTTTGTGTGCAAGTTTTGACCATCGGTTAATTTAAGCACAATTTAAACATATCGTCTTTTGTTGCATGGTATTAAGATTTGATTCGTGTAATTTTATGGGTTAAGACCATCAGAATAGAATTTCCTTCCAGGTGAGTGAAGAAAACTTCAAGCCTGGTGAATTCTCCAAGTGATGGAATAATTTTTTTTTGACAATCTGGGTATAGACTGACCCAATCCATGTGTGACTGGGACACAGTAAGTACGTTCCTTGCCCAACGAAACCAAATAAAATATGGGTTGGTTGTGTTTTGGTCCTTTTGGGTAGGACTGGGCTGGTCATGTTTCTTTTTAAGTAACTAAAGGACCACAGCTGGCCCAGGACCAGGCCCAGTTCGGGCTGATGTGACACTAGAGCCATCCCCATTAAACTTTCTATAAAAAAATGGGCCAGTATAATTAGGCTTTAATTACAAATGCTTGGATCATTTTATAAACAATACTTGCAAATGACGTGTTCATTTTGAATTTATTTGTCTGAACTGCAATTTATACTTATAAAATATATATATATATATATATATATATATATATATATATATATATATATATATTTCAATTTATCTCTTTGTTTGATGTGGATATGTGTCAAAGTATGACACCTTTTAAACCAAAAAAAAGTTGTGAATGATGTTATAACAATTGTTTGATTTTCTTAGCTTTTTTTAAGGGGCACTCAATTAAAAATTTAAATTAAATGAAACTTGGTGGAAAAGAGGTTTTCATAGGGTAGTCAACACAAACAAAAGATTAGTTAGCATTATCTCCGATAGTGTCTTTAGATTCTGTTTATCTTTATATTTTAAAAAAAGAAATACTCTGGATGGTATATGTGTTGGCCTAATTTGAATGGGTTAAGTGTATTAATGTATAATAAATTAAGTAAAAGTTAATTTTTTATATATAATAAAAATAATATTATTATTTTAGTATCGAATTCTTGTTGTGTTCGAGTTATATTTTTTAAAGAAAATTATCATATTACTGTATCTATATCTTTAAGAAAATTATCATATTACTGTGTCTATATCTTATCTAACCAATGTCTTATGTCCGTCTGTACTTCATATCTAGCCGATAAGCTTCTTGTGAAATTCTCAATAATATGACTATAAAAGGCTTAAACAAAATCATCATACGGCCCGAATGGAATTTCATATGATTGAGAATTTCACAAGAAGCTTATCGGCTAGATATGAAGTACGGACGGACGTAAGACATAGGTTAGATAAGATATAGACACAGTAATATGATAATTTTCTTAAAGATATAGATACAGTAATATGATAATTTTCTTTAAAAAATATAACTCGAACACAACAAGAATACGATACTAAAATAATAATATTATTTTTATTATATATAAAAAATTAACTTTTACTTAACTTATTATACATTAATACACTTAACCCATTCAAATTAGGCCAACACATATACCATCCAGAGTATTTCTTTTTTGAAACTACACAGATAAACAGCCTACTCCATTAAAATCTAAAGACACTATCGGAGATAATGCTAACTAATCTTTTGTTTGTGTTGACTACCCTATGAAAACCTCTTTTCCACCAAGTTTCATTTAATTTAAATTTTTAATTGAGGGCCCCTTAAAAAAGCTAATAAAATCAAACAATTGTTATAACATCATTCACAACTTTTTTTTGGTTTAAAAGGTGTCATACTTTGACACATATCCACATCAAACAAAGAGATAAATTGAAATATTTATATATTTTATAGGTATAAATTGCAGTTCAGACAAATAAATTCAAAATGAACACGTCATTTGCAAGTATTGTTTATAAAATAATCCAAGCATTTGTAATTAAAGCCTAATTATAATGGCCCATTTTTTTATAGAAAGTTTAATGGGGATGGCTCTAGTGTCACATCAGCCCGAACTGGGCCTGGTCCTGGGCCAGCTGTGGTCCTTTAGTTACTTAAAAAGAAACATGACCAGCCCAGTCCTACCCAAAAGGACCAAAACACAACCAACCCATATTTTATTTGGTTTGGTTGGGCAAGGGACGTACTTACTGGGTCCCAGTCACACATGGATTGGGTCAGTCTATACCCAGATTGTCAAAAAAAATTATTCCATCACTTGGAGAATTCACCAGGCTTGAAGTTTTCTTCACTCACCTGGAAGGAGATTCTATTCTGATGGTCTTAACCCATAAAATTACACGAATCAAATCTTAATACCATGCAACAAAAGACGATATGTTTAAATTGTGCTTAAATTAACCGTTGGTCAAAACTTGCACACAAAATAATACATCGTCTATTTTTAAATTCATCTTTCATCTTCAGTCTAACCGACTGGTACACTTGCACACAAAATAATACAGAATCCAAAAAGAGATTTAAGTCTCATGTCTTCAAAGTAAATGATAGAACCACAACAACTTACCAACAAAAGCCCCAAAAAACGATTCCGCCAAGAGGTCTTTCCCTGCAGCTCAGTCTTTCCCTGCAGCTCGATTCTGCCAAGAGTGTCTACCATCGTTTTCAGCTGCTTTACAGATTCTCCCCCCACATTAAAGATTCTTTTGCCAGCTTCTTTGATTCATATTCGTCAAGGTAGGTGAGATACTGCAGGCCAAAAGACAATCCGGCCACGACCAGAGCTACAAATTGGATCCACCACGGTATCTGTACCAAGAATAAAATCACATTCAATAGTCAAACATTTCACTAAATTTCACTAAATAGACAACATTTCTAAGAAGCCAGTCTACCATATATATTATAGGTATCAGGTAACCCTCAATTTCAACTGACAAATTATTGATATGGAGAAGAAACGGAGAGGTAGATTAGAAGAGGCCTTATCATGTGTGATCACAACCATTGTTCTTCCATAAATAAATTGAACCACAAGCTCCAATAGAAAAGTTTTCAAATAACAAAAAATAAAATAAAAAAAAATCAAAATGAAAATTTGAAGTATAATCTTTAATTTAAGTTCGAAAAATAACCAAGGTACATGAATTTAATTGAAGGTTTAAGTGGGCTGCACTTCCCTCACAATTTATTTATGGTAAGGGCAAAAATAATAATCATAAGCATGGAATGTCAAAACTTGTCAACTCTTCAAATTCCATATTTACAGACTCTAAAATCCATAATATGACTTCAAGAAGCTCCCAACACTACGCAAGATCCAACTGACCAAGGTTTATACTCGGTTATTGATAATAATCTGGTTTTTATTCTTATCAAAATAAATAAATAAATTAATTAAAATAAATTAAAAAATAAAATAAAATTGAAAACACACATGCAAAAAGTTACAGATAAAAAATTGAAAATGCCCTGAAAAATGTACTTACAATAAGTCAATGCTAAACACTTGAAGTGGACTGTTGGCTATTATACCAAACTGTTTGGAGGAGCTAGTCATACGATTGGTGAGGATCTGATCAGCCCTAGACACATGATCTCAGAGAAAGAGGCTAGAATGCTTGGGAACAGAGTGACTGAGAATGAGATAAAGGCAGTGGGGATGGTGTTCACTGCAGTGTTTTGGGCCGGTGGGAATATCAGCTGCAGAGGTGGCTAGAGTTACCTATTTCTAGATTCTTGATGCCAATTGTGTTTTAAAGGTTTACGGTTTTAATTACAATTTATTTCAATATAGAATTCAGTAAAGAATAGGTTTAATAGACAAGATTACCAAAGGTAGTGTTGAACTTGAACTCATCATCAGATCTTCCATCATCAGATCCTCCTGAGAAGTAATAAATTTAGATAATTAATATATGTATGAACATTATGCCCCCGCCTATGTAATAATAAATGCACAGAGAGTGAGGGTTTTGTGGTTTGTCATAGTAGAAGTGAAGAGGCTACCTGAATTAGCTTGTCCAGACATTTCTGAAGAATGCAAGACCACTGTCAACCAAATATTCAGGGAAAGTTTTGTTATATTAAATCATTATTTAACTATATAAACAACAATGAAGTAAATAACAATGAGGTGAAATATTAAATCATTATTTAACTATATAAACAATAATGAAGTAAATAACAATGAGGTGAAGAAATTACCAGATCTATTTTGTGCAGAATCATTTCCCTAGTATACCACCGAAAAATGGGGACAATGGCAGAGAAGAAAAACCGAAAAATGGGGGAACCACCGAAAATGCACATTAGGATTAGGCGGAATGGGATGGAGAGGCTTCCATTTGTCCAGAAATGGTGTCATGGTGGGAGAAATAAGAGAAGAACGTCTCAACATTGGGGAGGGAATTGGTAGATTCCGGAATCTACGTACAAACAGGAGAGCTTTCGTTGCCATTGTTGGAGCACTTTTGGAATTTCTTGAATAGCAGTCGAGCAGCCTCTTGAATCTCAAAGGAGTGGCGTGGAGCAGAATGTGAGATTCATGACCTAAACAATATAAGGATTTTGATAATAATAGCCATTGGATCAAATTTGATCTGATCCAATGGCCACAAATATAAGGGTATATAAACGATTGGTCTAACCGACTGCCAACTTGCACACAAAATAATACAGAATCCAAGATGAGAATTAAGTCTCATGTCTTCATAAGTAAATGATAGAACCACAACAACTTACCGAAAAAGCCCCAAAAAGCGATTCCACCAAGAGGTCTTTCCCTGCAGCTCAATTCTACCAAGAGTGTCTACCATCGTTTTCAGCTGCTTTACAGATTCTCTCCCTGCATTAAAGATTCTCTTGCCAGCTTCTTTGATTCATATTCGTCAAGGTAGGTGAGATACTGCAGGCCTAAAGACAATCCGCCCACCACCAGAGCTACAAATTGGATCCACACCACGGTATCTGTACCAAGAATAAAATTACTTATCAAAAAAAAAAAAATCTGTACCAAGAATAAAATCACATTCAATAGTCAAACATTTCACTAAATTTCACTAAATAGACAACATTTCTAAGAAGCAAGTCTACCATATATATTATGGGTATCAGGTAACCCTCTATTTCAATAGACAAATTATTGATATGGAGAAGAATCATAGAGGTAGATTAGAAGAGGCCTTATCATGTGTGATCACAGCCATTGTTCTTCCATAAATAAATTGAACCACAAGCTCCAATAGAACAGTTTTCAAATAACAAAAAAAAAAAAAAATCAAAATCAAAATTTGAAATATAATCTTTAATTTAAGTTCGCAAAATAACCAAGGAACATGAATTTAATTGAAGGTTTATGTGCAATGGCTGCACTATTTATATATATGGTAAAGGGCAAAAATAATAATCATAAGCTTGGAATGTCAAAACTTGTCAACTCTTCAAATTCCATATTTACAAACTCTAAAATCCATAATATGACTTCAATAAACTCCCAACACTACACATGACTCAACTGACCAATGTTTGTACAAGAGTAATGCTCGGTTATTAATAATAATCTGGTTTTTATTCCTATCAAAAAAAATAAAAAAAATTACCCAACTTGAAAACACATGCAAAAAGTAACAGATAACAAATTGAAAATGCCCTTAAAAATGTAATTATAATAAGTCAATGCTAAACACTTGAAGTAGTCTGTTAGAGAGAGTCTGTTAGAGAGAGACCACATCCTCTCCGAGTATGTTATTAAAGTGGACTGTTGGCTATTATACCAAACTGCTTAGAGGAGCTAGTCATACGATTGGTGAGGGGATCTGATCAGCCCTAGACACAGGATCTCGGAGAAAGAGGCTAGAATGCTTGGGGACAAAGTGAATGAAAATAAGATAAAAGCAGTGGTGATGGTGTTCACTGCAGTGTTTTGGGGCCTATGGGTTGAGAGTAATGCAAGACATCACAAAGGGTGGGAATATCAGCTGCAGAGGTGGCTAGAGTTACCTGTTTCCAGATTCTTGATGCCAATTGTGTTTTAAAGGTTTACGGTTTTAATTACAATTTATTTCAATATAGAAGTAATATAGAATTCAGTGAAGAATAGGTTTAATAGACAAGATTACCAAAGGTAATGTTGAACTTGAACTCATTATCAGATCCTCCATCATCAGATCCTCCTCCTGAGAAGTAATAAATTTAGATAATTAATAAATTTATGAACATTATGCCCCCGCCTATGTAATAATAAATGCACAGAGAGTGAAGGTTTTGTGGTTTGTCATAGTAGAAGTGAAGAGGCTACCTGAGTTAGCTTGTCCAGAAATTTCCAAAGATATCAAGACCACTGTCAACCAAATATTAAGGGAAAGTTTTGTTATATTAAGTCATTATTTAACTATATAAATCAACAATGAAGTAAATAACAATGAGGTGAAATAATAAATCATTATTTAACTATATAAATCAATAATGAGGTGAAATACTAAATCATTATTTAACTATATAAATCAACAACGAGGTGAAGAAATTACAAGATGTATTTTGTGCAAAACCATTTTCCCTAGTATTATCCCCATTTGGTGGTACGTCTCCAGACCCTTCAGAAGAAAAGACAGTCAACCAAAATATTCAGAAAATCAACTATATAAACAAGTGAAGACATTACCAGAACTAGCAGAATCCTTTCCCCCAGTATTCCCATTTTGGGGTGACTCATGTCCAGACCCTTCTGAAAATACAAAAGACCGTCAACCAGAAAATCAACTATATAAACAATAATGAAGTCAAGAGATTACCAGATCTGCTAGCGTCCCCATTTTTGGGTGGTTCAGCACTGAACCAGCAAAAAAGCGCAGGAATGGGAGGTGCAATGGGATGGAGAGGCTTAAATGGTGTCATGCTAGGAATGGGAGAAATGGGAGAAGAAAAACGTCCCAACATAGGGGAGGGAATTGGTAGACGACGGAACCTACGTACAACCAGCAGAGCCTTCATTGCCATTGTTCGAATCGCAGAGGAGCAGCTCTTGAATCTCAAAGGAGCTCCTAAACAATGAGGGCGGTGTCTAAGATTGTGCCCTGTAGTTACTATGGATTATCAAGATTTTGATAATAATAGCCATTGGATCAAATTTGATCCAATGGCCACAAATAGGTATATAAAAAGGTAGGCGGGGCGTAGTCCAATTGTTATAGCATTATACAGTGGTGACCAAAATTTCATTGGGCCACTTTCTTATAAGGTTTGGTGCATAATTATATTGCTTTTAAAACTAATCACAAGGTTTGGTGCATAAGTAGCAATTTTTGCTAAGATAAATAAATTGCAAGTGGGGATGTAAAATTACTCTTTAGTTTGAGGAAGGGTTTTACAATCTTTCAAATTTTTAACTAGTGCTTGACATTGGTCCAATAACCTCCATTTCACCTAGGTCTATACACATTTTACATTAATCTTCTTCTCTTTTTTTTAATATTTTCTTGATATTATGTTAATGGCTAATGAAAGAGAATTATTATTATTATCTTTTTAATTTTTAGACAGCCCAATTATATATATATAGCTCACTTAGTTATAAATCACCTCAACGAGTCTGGTTCAGGTTCATACTCCATGATTTATACTAATTTTACCTCAAATTGTTCATCGCAGTTCATTTTAAGGTTTTATAAAAATTTATATATTTAATATATATCATAACTTATGTTTAATATAACTAATTTACATCAAAGGTGGGCCTAATACTACAAGCCAAGCTTAAGGCTCTTGTTATCATGGCAAAAATATAATGTTTTAGTCTAGTCACATTAGTCGTCACTACTGCTAAGTCCTACAGAAACTTTTGAAATGCATAATTTCGAGTTAAAAGCTAGAGTGTGAGATATATATTTTGTAATTGACTAATTTCGTTGTCAAAACAAGCCCGATCAAGTTGTAAAATTTTGATTCAGAATTTCAAGATTGAAGATCAGAAGTAGATTTGAAGAAATTCAAGCGTTCATACTTTAATACACACTGAATGATGAAAACAATGCTTTAGAAAGGTATAAGAGTATGTAAGAACATTTAGGAAGTTTTGGAAGGTTGAAACACAACTTTTAGGAAGTTTTTAGATTCTGCCCAACTTGAACAGGTTCAATATTTGAGGCTCTGTGGAGATTTTCAAGACTGGTCATCTTAAACCAGTTCAACAATCTTGAACCGGTTCAAGAATTAAAAGGATTCTTCAAATTTTACACTGGCCATCTTGAACTGATTATACTTTCTCGAACCGATTTAAGGTCTTCAGACAGCTTTGGTAACTTTAGTTTCCTGATCTGTTTTCATTCCTATTTGGTATAGACTTCCTTCGAAAATCCTATGCACGAATTTGACTTGATTTCCAAGTATTCTTATGTCTTCCAAACTTCTGTATAATCTCTCTTTCATTCAACATTGAGGTATGACTTTTAAGAACAAAAATTCATTATTTAGAGAGAGCCTTTTGAGAGATATTTTTCAGAAAATCAAATCTGATTTTTCTGATTTTATTTTTGAGAGCACACACACAAACACAAGAGTGATTTAGTAGTGTTGTTCTCTATCTCATCGGAATTGGAGCATAATTGAAGATTCAGAGATTCCGAAAAGCAGATCTATTTCTTCTACATCAAATTTAGATCTTGAATAAAATCACATTCGATAGTCAAACATTTCACTAAATATCACTAAATTGACAACATTTCCAAGAAGCCAGTCTACCATAATATTATAGGTATCAGGTAACCCTCTATTTCAACAGACAAATTATTGATATGGAGAAGAATCATAGAGGTAGATTAGAAGAGGCCTTATCATGTGTGATCACAGCCATTGTTCTTCCATAAATAAATTGAACCGCAAGCTCCAATAGAAAAGTTTTCAAATAACAAAAAATAAAATAAAAAAAAATCAAAATGAAAATTTGAAGTATAATCTTTAATTTAAGTTTACAAAATAACCAAGGAACATGAATTTAATTGAAGGTTTACATGCAGTGGCTGCACTTCCCTCTCACAATTTATATATATGGTAAAGGGCAAAAATAATAATCATAAGCTTGGAATGTCAAAACTTGTCAACTCTTCAAATTCCATATTTACAAACTCTAAAATCCATAATATGACTTCAATAAACTCCCAACACTACACATGACTCAACTGACCAATGTTTATACTAGACTAACGCTCGGTTATTAATAATAATCTGGTTTTTATTCTTATCAAAAAAAATAAAAAAAATTACCCAATTTGAAAACACATGCAAAAAGTAACAGATAACAAATTGAAAATGCCCTGAAAAATGTAATTATAATAAGTCAATGCTAAACACTTGAAGTAGTCTGTTAGAGAGAGACCACATCCTCTCCGAGTATGATATTAAAGTGGACTGTTGGCTATTATACCAAACTGTTTAGAGGAGCTAGTCATACGATTGGTAAGGAACTGATCAGCCCTAGACACAGGATCTCGGAGAAAGAGACGAGAATGCTTGGGGACAAAGTGACTGAGAATAAGATAAAAGCAGTGGTGATGGTGTTCACTGCAGTGTTTTGGGCCCTATGGGATGAGAGTAATGCAAGACATCAAAAAGGGTGGGAATATCAGCTGCAGAGGTGGCTAGAGTTACCCGTTTCCAGATTCTTGATGCCAATTGTGTTTTAAAGGTTTACGGTTTTAATTACAATTTATTTCAATATAGAAGTAATATAGAATTCAGTAAAGAATAGGTTTAATAGACAAGATTACCAAAGGTAGTGTTGAACTTGAACTCATCATCAGATCTTCCATCATCAGATCCTCCTGAGAAGTAATAAATTTAGATAATTAATATATGTATGAACATTATGCCCCCGCCTATGTAATAATAAATGCACAAAGAGTGAGGGTTTTGTGGTTTGTCATAGTAGAAGTGAAGAGGCTACCTGAATTAGCTTGTCCAGACATTTCTGAAGAATGCAAGACCAATGTCAACCAAATATTCAGGGAAAGTTTTGTTATAGAGGCTACTTGAATTAGCTTGTCCAGACATTTCTGAAGAATGCAAGACCAATGTCAACCAAATATTCAGGGAAAGTTTTGTTATATTAAATCATTATTTAACTATATAAACAACAATGAAGTAAATAACAATGACGTGAAATATTAAATCATTATTTAACTATATAAACAATAATGAAGTAAATAACAATGAGGTGAAGAAATTTCCAGATCTATTTTGTGCAGAATCATTTCCCCAGTATCCCCATTTGGTACATGTCCAGACCCTTCAGAAGAATGCAAGACCGTCAACCAAATATTCAGAATATCAACTAAACAAGTGAAGAGATTACCATAAGTGTTTTGTGCAGAATCTTTTCCCCCAGTATCCCCATTTTGTGGTGATTCATGTCCAAACCCTTCTAAAGAATGCAAGACCGTCAACCAAATATTCAGAAAATACTATATAAACAATAATGAAGTCAAGAGATTACCAGATATGCTAGTGTCCCCATTTTTCGGTTTTTCATCTGTGCCAGTGTTCCAATTTTTCGGCGGTTCAGCACTGAACCACCGAAAAATGCTGAACCACCGAAAATTGGGGACAATGGCAGAGATGAAAAACCGAAAAATGGGGGAACCACCGAAAATGCACATTAGGATTAGGTGGAATGGGATGGAGAGGCTTCCATTTGTCCAGAAATGGTGTCATGGTGGTAGAAAAAAGAGAAGAAGAATGTCTCAACATGGGTGAGGGAATTGGTAGATTCCAAAATCTACGTACAAACAGGAGAGCTTTCGTTGCCATTGTTGGAGCAATTTTTGGAATTTCTTGAATAGCAGACGAGCAGCCTCTTGAATCTCAAAGTAGCGGTGTGGAGCAAAATGTGAGATTCATGACCCAAACAATATAAGGGTTTTGATAATAATAGCCATTGGATCAAATTTGATGTGATCCAATGGCCACAAATATAAGGGTATATAAAGGATTGGCAATGAATTAGCGTAGTCCAATTGTTATAGCATTGTATAGTGGTGACCAAAATTTCATTGGGCCACTTCCTAATGGTCAAGTGAGTCCAAATACAGCACTGGACCCAGTTACTTACGGGTTGGAGAAACAGTAGGCCGTGGATCCATGCAATATAAGGCCAGCGACTCAACTGTGTGGAGACTTGTGTGAATTTTTTCTGCTTGGTTTGCAACTCTGAGAATAGACTGAAAATAGAAAATTGTACAAAAAATTCTGATTCAGTTTTTTGAGAACTCAGTTATAAAAAGACTTATTTTCATAGAACTTGTCTTTTATAGTTCTCAAAAAACAGATTTTTGTTCTCTGAATTCTTGAGAACTGTTTTAAGAGTTACAAACCAAACATACTCTGACATCGTTGTTCATTTTATGTTTCTAGTGCTTCCTCGTCAAGACACGGTCCTACACGTACAGAGCATCCAACACATAATTTTGGGAATGTAATTGCCCCCAAACATAGTCCCCTGCGAATTATTGTTGGAATTGTCAAGGGAGGGGTAACCCAATCACAACCAACTTCAAAAAATGCATTCCTCGATGATTTTTGCACTTCTTGAAACAAAAAATGGTCGGAGACGGATGGATCACCTTAAATCGGTCCTTGGGTTTAATAATGCCTGTTTAACTAATCTGGTGGGTCGTGCGGGTGGCATTGCCCTCTGGTGGAAAGATGCGGTTCACTTAGAGGTGCCGGACCAGAATAATTTTCATATTAAAGCTTTGGTTCACCCGCAAAATAAAACACCTAGGACCTTTCCATAATTTATTCGAGTACAATTGACACCATTCGTGCATCACAATGGAAATATTTAGAACAACAGTCTCAATTTTGGACGACGCAATTAGTGCTTATAAGTGATTAATGATATTCTCTATACATCTGAGAAGTGTGATGGGCCAGTTAAGACAAGATGGCGTTTGCGTTCATTCCAATCTTTGATAGAGATATGCAATTTGGGTGATTTAGGTTATGCAGGTTATCCTTTTACTTGGAATAACCAACGGGATGGTCGAGTTAATATCCTGTTGGATACTAGTCATAAAAAATAGTGTTTCAAGTGTGAATGAAACTTGTCTGCAACTAAATTATAGTTGGGTGCATAGATGCAACTCATTTTCTATACTAGTACTAAAATGCAAGAAGATGAGGTAATTAATAATCAAACAATGCAAAACAGTACGAATTGGAGGCTACAAGTTTATATAGTGAAGCTTTGAGTTTGAGCTTTTTTAGCAAGTGAAAGTACCTAATATCATATCCATAACAGCACTTTGGTTAATATTATGGGTGCTCTTGAAATACTTAAAGAGATTATGGTTAATTTTTGTTTAGTCCTTCTAAAGTAGAAAGTCAAGGGTTCAAGACCCCATAGGGCCAAGTGTGGTGGTGTGATTGTGTTTCTTACCAATGTACCCAAAAAAAAAAAAAAAAAAAAGTGCTGAAAGTAAGGGAGATAACTAAACAGAAAATTCTTAAATATCAGGATGGTAATGACAGAAACGCTTTAAGAAGAAATTCAAGCTTGTAGAACAAAAGATGCATGCTTATACTATTGTACTTGCTCCATATTTTTTTTTTTTTTTTTGGGTATCAATAAGAACCGACAAGTAATGCTCAAAATTTCAATAGAGTGATCTGATTGTAACATAAGCCCTTCGTACTCTATATTTTTTACTTCTTAGAGCATTAGATTGGCTCAAAATTTGACTTGGTTAAGCTACAAAAACCGTCAAAATTTGACTTGGTTAAGCTACAAAAACCGTCAAAATTTGACTTGGTTAAGCCCTTCATTAGTGCATGTTTCAGCCAAATCTAGCACATTAGTCATACAAATTATTTTTGAAATATTTTCAAATACATAAGAAAGAAAACAAATATAATAAAGCACCTTAATTAACAAAATAACAGTCCCAAAAACAAACCTATCTTTTTTCTGATTCCACTCGATTCAGTGACAAATTAAATTAAAATTGCATAGTCTCTTCTTTTTCTTTTTCACAGATAAAATTAGGGTTTAGAGAGATGAAAAAGATGAGAGCCAAGTAGATAAGTCATATTGCACACCATTGTTTCAGAATTTCAGGAACTGAAAAATCGTGTCTGAAGTGACCAAATATTCTTGTAACTAAAAGAATTAGACACTAGGCTCAATAGTATGTCTTCAACTCTAAATTTCCTTCAATTTTGAGTGCTTTGACTTAATTTAAGTGCATCAACATATTATCAACATCATCAGTCGTCATCACTAGAGTCAACGTTGACATCAACATCCTCATAACGTTGACATTAACATCCTCACCTAAAATCGTCATCTAGAATCACGTAATCCTCTTGCATAAAGATACATTTGATTAAGACAAACTGAAAAGAGACTTCCTATCATAATTAGTCATTTTAAAAACAACATCACTGCTACAATAGTAAGGGTATTTATATAATTCAATTAGCTAGGCAAAAAAAACATACCTTATTTACTTTTTGCCAACACCACCCATTCCCATCAACTCTCTTCTTTCAGAAAAGAAACCTATATTATTAGGACAAAAGAGAAAAAGTTTTAAAGGCGTTAATAAACTTGTAAAACATATATTCTGAAATTGAAAACTAAACTTCCAAGTCTTTAATTCCCATTAATAAATTGTTTGAGTATCACATCATAACAATATGGGTTAATTACACTCACACCCCCTAAGGTTTGTTCTATTAACAGCTAGATGAAACTTGGCTCATTTTTTAACATGCACACCCCATGTCAAAAATATCATCCAAACAAGCCTTTAAAATGCAAAAAAAGATGAGTTTGCCCCCAATCTTTAATTCATTTTAATAATAAAAATAAAAATATATATCTCAATTTGTAAAATGACAAATTTGTCCCCATTAATTGAAGTCCTCTGTCCGTAATTACCCAGCGATGCCCACAGCTTCTCTTCCCCTCCCTCTCCACTGGTTGCCACCATCTCTCCTCAACAACGGCTGCCGCCTCCACCCACCACCACCATCTCTCTTCACCCATCGTTACCATCTCTATTCAATCGCAGCCACCATATCTCTGCACCCACTGCCACCATCGCTCTCCACCCACCGGTGATTACCGTATCACCATCTTTCTTATCATTACCAACATGGTTGATCCGTGCGGACCGTGCCTATAGGTGGCCCAATAAGCCGCTGTGAGAGTAAGGAGGAGGTTGGTTGTAGATGGGCAGTACAAGTAGGAAGTGGATTGCAGCGGTGAAAGTTCCAATGAACTAGGGTTTGTGAAATTTTCTAAAGGAATTCGGATTGATTTATGGTTTGCAGACTGCGGCGGAGGTGACAATGAAGGAATTGTTCCTCTCATTGTTCTTCTTGCTGTTTCTTCGAATTTAGGTCGGAGCTTTCCCGGCGTTCAAGATTCTAAATTGATGACCGACGACTCTTCATTGTGTATTATATTTGTGTATTAATTATCTGTGTGTGTGACTAACGTGTGATTGTTCTTCTTGGTATGTGTTTGTGCGTATGTACGTATATGTGATCACAAACACACTCAATTCTTTAACTTTCCTTTTCAGCAAATATACATATATCCTTCAACAATCATACAAACAATATATAGATATGCAGAAACACAAGCATCCAAGTAAATGATTTCTAATATAGAAATATATATCTTTATATATTATTCGTTTGTGTTTGTGTGTGACTCTCTCTAATGGGATTTTTACATATGTGTATATATAATATATCTATATACAGGATGAATTTGATGATTTATGTATTTGCGGGTGTGGAGGGGTGTGAAGCGGTGGTGGGGCTGTGAGTGGTGGCGGTGGGTGTGATGGTTAAAAAGGTAATTTTATTATTTAAATAGGACAATTAATAAGTCAAAGGGCAAAATAATCAATTCACACTGTGTCAGATGTGGTAGGGGTGTCTTTGTTAACTTTAGCAAACTTGAGGGGATGTGATTGTTCAAAAAGGGGTTAAGTTTCATCTATTTGTCAATAAGTTAAACCTCAGGGGGTGTGAGTATAATTAACCCTAACAATATTATATAATGAATGTAGAAACAAAAACAAAAACAAAAAATCCGTATGTGAAACATGAATAAATAAACGTAACCAATAGCTAAAAACGCCAATTAAAATTTTAGAAAAAGTAAGAGTTTGTTACCTGATGACTGAGGAGGCATGTTTCTCGAACCTTGTTCTTGCTAAATGTTAAGGCCCGATGCTAACCCTAAAAATAAGAAAACACTCAAGTTGTGTGGAAGAGGTTTCACAATCTCACTCATAACAATTAAAACACTACCATCTAAGTATTATTTGTATCATGTATTAACCCAACCCAACTATGCTTTCAATCGAAATGTTGGACACCTATCCGTAGAAAGAGGTGTAATTACGGATAGGTGTGATTAGCATATATTATACTCAGCTCTTATGTTAAGTTAATCCAATAACAAAGTACAATGCATCAGTTTAGGAATAATCTTCAAAATTAACAAATCAATAACCTGATATTCTAGATTCTAATAACAAAAGAAAATCAAAAACCAAAATTTGAAAATAAAAATATGGCAAGATTGAATATATCCTTCAAACATTACACAGACTGTATTTCTATGTGAAACAAAACATCCCGGATTTCTCAATTGGGTGGGCCAAATCAAAATATATCAACCAAAATCAACTGTTATTTAATTCAATTTTAGTTAACTAACAATGTTTCTTTAGACAATTGACTGATTAAGGCATAGAAAATCCTATTTGGATAATTAATAAAAAAAATTACCAATTTTTTTCTGAACAATTCACCACTCAGTACCCTATCTCTTCTTTTGACCAATTTACTAATCCTATTTGAGAATCTACTAGTGGAAGCAGAGTGTGAGGTAGTTCATGGAGCCCCCTTCCAACACTATGGAATTCACTCAAAAGCATGCTTTTTGTAAGTATTTTAATTTTCAAGAAGTAACTTTAGAGCTTTACCCTATATTAAGCACTTTTGCTTGTCAAAGTTCTTGTTATGATTTTTTTTTTTTTTTTTAGTTCTGAAAAGAATTCCTTCTTCAAAAAGCTTGGCATTTTGATAAAAATTCTTTCAGATTCAATCTCTGCAGATTTCTAATCCAATTCAGATTTTTTTTTTTCTTTTTTCATGCCCAGATTAAAATTTTATTGTAAGACTAAATTGACACAAAATAAAAAATAAAATAAAAAAAATTACAGAAATAGAAGTTATAAAAACAAATATATATATAGATTACGGGGATTACCTCAAAATGCAATGCAAATTTTGTTACTTTATACTGTAAAAAAAAAAAATTATTTAAAAAAGATCATAAAATATTTCACCAAATAGGATTTAGTTTGCAAAACAAGAATTACAGAGCTTGATTAGTTGATTTAGAAAAGAAAAAAAACCCATACATACAAGTTAGCAGTTGCAGAGAGAGAGGGGGGCAAGCTTGAGAGTTGAGAGCCAGTTGCTGAAGCTTGCGAACGGGGAACCCGAACTGGAACAGCGGGCGATGGAAACTGAAAGGTATGGGTTTTGATTTTTTGAACAATCTGAAATCATATGCCGATATGGGTTTTGAACTTCTGATTCTTGCAGACAGATAGATAAAACTGAACTATATGGGTTTTGAACTTCTGATTCTTGTAGTTTTTGTAGTTTGCAGTTACAGAGAGAGGGAGGGGGCAAGTTCAGAGTTGAGAACGAGAATAGAGATGGAGGCGATTGGAGAGCTGAAATGATTTGCCCTAAAAAATATCGTGAATCTCACATTTATTTTACAGACTTCAAAACTCGTGATCCCAAAACAAAGAAACCCTAGCAGGTTCTTAGCGAAAAGTAAAATTGTCCTAACGTTTTTTTTTTTTTTAAAAAAAAAAAATTGTCCTAGACGTTTCAGAGGTCTTTATAGCAACATTTGACCTAGTGTAACTCTTTCTCTCTCTTCCTCTAGTAATTATGAGCAGCGGACCCCGCTCGGTTTTATTTACCTTTGCTTTGAGATTCCGGGTCCGTACCCGATATTTTTGGTTGAGAGCGGTATAAGTAATTAATTGGTCATCACAAGCTGACGTCATGCTGTTGACTGGGGTTTCGGCTCTCATGGTCCGAGGGTAAATTTATGTGCGGTGGTGGTGTATGTGTTAGCTAGATGAAGACCGTTGATGGGTACGAAATTGAAGTGGGAGTGCATCCGATGGCCAGAAGGGAAGATGGTATGATGATCTTGTTAACTATATAGGGAGAGATTGAATGCTTCTCGGGTTTGTAATAAAATAAGCGTTGGAGTGGCGCTGGTACAATACACCAATTTATGAATCACCGTATAATTCATGCACACTCGAAACTTTATAAATTCAGATGATTAAACTTTATAATGAGATCATATTAATTTATTATTTAATAACATTATTATTTTTAGAAAAATTCTTTATGACAAATCATTCTTTAGTTAACATAAACATATTGAATGATTTTTTCAAACCATGGACTACAACTGAAGATAAGGTTTATCACTCTGTCCATCCTCCCACTGAACATTTAATTCTGAAAAGAATTGACCTGACAGTGGTGCAAAAGTGGAAACCAAGGCTTATAGCCAACCTAAAATAATTGATCCGTCCTGTAATGCTACTAAAAAAGACATTTCTCATATTTACAGGCAAAACAATTATATTAATGTCTGTCTGCAAACGGTAGGGTCCCAGCTTAGGAGAATTGAAACAGAAATAGACACGGCATTAAATACAATTAATACTAAGTGTATTACTGATAAGACTTCTCCTCCAGAAGCTTCCTTATCCAAAGCATTGGTCAAACCTGCAATTGAAGTTAAAGGCTTCAATCTTACACATCTTAAGAAGAATGAAGAATTTCTTACTCTTCTTACTTAGAAAATTCAAGGACTTAAAATTCAGACTTTATCCCATGATGAATCTGATATAGGTTCTGATGATGTGTTACCTCATATTGAGGTTTTCCAAACTGATTTCACTCCGCTACCTGAGTTCAACAGAATTGTCTATGATAAGAATATCCACTCCAATACTGCCCCTGCTCCGAGTAGATATTATTATTCCAGACCTACACCTCAAGATATCTTGTATAAAGAAGATTATTTTCATACACGGAAATCTTTTCATGGCAAGACCATTTATGAATGGAATATAGATGGCAAATCTGATTATCAGATTTACGAGGTTATTCATCAAATGTTGATGTATAGCCAAGTCTGTAAAATTAATAACAATACTGACCCAACCATTGCTAAATTTGTCGTTGCTGGTTTTACAGGAATCCTTAAAGGATGGTGGGATAATGTTCTCACTGACATTCAGAAAGCTGAAATCTTTTCTGCTACCGAGATAGTGAAAGATGAAGCTACCCAACAACCAGGTCCTGCTCCCGATGCGGTTTACACCCTCATCACCACTATTATCCAACATTTTGTTGGCCCAGAAGGTGCTAATAGTGAACGGAGTCGTGAACTTCTACAGAATCTAAGATGTCCATCTTTAACTCATTTCCGGTGGTATAAAGATGTATTCTTAGCAAAGGTTCTCCAACTCAATGATGCAAAAAGCGGGCTAAACATTCCAATGCGACTTTTGGCATGATTATTATCGTAATTATGTAATGAACAATACGACTACTATTCTGTCTAACTTATGTTTATCCCTGATTCAATTATGGGTCGTCCAAAAGTCGCGTTGGAATGTTTAGCCCGCTTTTTGCATTAAATTGCTGCACAGGGTATTGTTTCCAGTTTTGCATAATTCCAAGTAGTCAGCCTTCATGTGGCTGGGACTAGCTTTAGAAGGAATCATGAGATCGGTAAATCCCTTTTCATAGGGTAAAGAAACAATATGCTTCTTTCTGTCCCAAAAAGCATTAGGAATCTCACTACAGATTTCCTTTAGAAAGTTTTGTCGTATTGACTCAATTTTCTGTTGCTCAGTGGGTTGTACCAATCTTTGATTAATTGCTAAGGAGGATACCTCCTTTTGCAAATAATTCAGTTGCTTTTCCTTAAAGATAATGTTATCTTTAAGAGCATTGATATGCTTATTTACTGGTGGGGTCAAGAACTGGAAAGTAATTGACTGGCCATGTAAATTAGAGCATATTCCATGAGAATCAATTTTTCTCAATTGGCATGATCAAAGCTAAAAAGGGGGTGCCCAAAATAACTTGTTGTGCCATATTCCTGATAAGTAAGAAAGTAGATGGTAAACAAATACCTTCTTTACAGATGAAAACGTGATTAAGTTTATACTTAATCTGCATCTTACCACCACTTGCACTGGTAAGACCTTGAGTGGTTTTATCAAAATATTGAGTAGGAACCAATCCTTCCTGTATACAGTTCATATCTGCACCACTATCAACTAAGGCAATAGCATTAGTGATGGCGTACTCTTGATTAATTACCAAATTGATAGATATATACCATTTTTGGTAAGTAACTTGATTCAAGAGTTGAAGATAATTCTTGCTTTCGGATTGAGGGACTTCAATCTGGGATGATGAAGTTACAGTTACAGATGTTGCTTTCAAAAGAGTAATTTCCAGTTCCATCTTAGTCTGACGAGACTTTAACTGACGAATTTCTTCTTTTAAAAGATTAATCTCCATTCTGAGATCAGGGAGATTAGCAGGACGTGAATTCTGTCCTTGGTGTTCTAATCTGCTTAGAACTTCTTTCATGCTGTAATGATTTTCTGCTCTCAGAAAATCTGGATTATCAGTATCCTCATTAGTTCGTGCTAAAGCAGAACCTATTTCAAAGACTTTCATCTTGAGTTGAGGATCTTGAATGTGATCTATAAGATCCAATAAGGATTGTTGAGTCGAAGTCAAAACATTTAAGCTTAACCCATTCATTTCAACAATTGCCTTATAATAGTCATCATGAGAGGGATTACAGGAGCATTTTGGATTATCAACTTCTGCTTCAGAGGAAGAAGAAGACTGTAATTCCATAACATCATTCCCATAATCAGCCGATGATTCTGATTCAGAAGAACTAGTATTAAGTAACAATTTACTTAATTGAAGTCTTAGTTCATCTTCTATGTGAAGACTACTAAGTTTCTCCTTAGTTCTGCACTTGTTTGCATAGTGGCTTATGCGTCCACATTTGAAACATTTAGCCTCAGCTTTGGGTTTTCCTTTACCTTTTGCTTTAGGAATATATTTCATTTTAGGCTTAGTATACTGTCGAGAATTATCCTTTTCCTTTGAATAATTCTTTCTTTTGGAATACTTCCTTTTATAAGGTTTTTCAACCTTATTTCTTTTCCTAGGTTTAGGATAAGATAAGGGAGTCTGGTAGGCAAATTGATCACAAAATTCACCTACTTCCTTTCTACCAGTTAATCTTTGTGCTTTTAACTGGGACTGTAACTTCAGATCATTACAGAGAGCTAAACCTTCTTGGATTACAATATTAACTAATCCACCATAGGTATAGTTTCTGTAAGGGATAGATATACCATTATGCATATCTCTAAGCTTTTTCCTGATTCTTTCAGCAAAAAAGGTTGGTAAACCATCTTTCAATTTTCCTTTCTTCCTCTTGTAATATTTCTCTGTATTAAGTTTGGAAGTGCAATAAAGAAGAAAGTTTTCTGTAAGTGTTTCAAATATAATTAACTGTTATTATCAACTGTTTATATTATCAACTGTTTATAAATAAATCAACTGTTGATTATATATCGATCCACTTATTTATTATTTTGGTATCAGAGCCTTGGTTTCCACTTTTGCACCACTGTCAGGGTCAATTCTTTTCAGAATTAAATGTTCAGTGGGAGGATGGACAGAGTGATAAACCTTATCTTCAGTTGTAGTCCATGGTTTGAGAAAATCATCCAATATGTTTATGTTAACTAAAGAATGATTTGTCATAAAGAACCAAGAAACAAAAGGTATAACCATTTTGCGTTCTTGTATAAAGTCATAAAATTGATTTTTAAAAAGTTGTAATTGATTTTGGTCAAAAGTTTTAAAATACCAATTTCTGAATTCTTTATATTGATCCTGTTGAAATTCAGTATTAATGGCAATTCTATCTGGGACAAAATCCATTAAAACTAATATTCATGAGGGTCATTTATGTCTGTAGGATCATCAAATTGATCCTTAACAGATTCATTTCCGATTCCCATTTCGGATGGAGTTGGGCTGAATTCAATTCCAAATTGGCGACGAGACATACCTATTGGTGCTTTCTCGTAGACTCCTCTTGGAATTTGATTCTGAGATTACTGTATTCCTTTCAGCTTGAGGTGATTGGAACCAACTACTGCAGGAGGTTGGAGATCTTCCTTTCTGTAATTCGACGAGATCGAATGGCAAGAAGGAGGACAAGAAACATGATAAGGAAGATGACTTCCTTTAGATGATGTAGATCTGGGTAGATCTAATGATTTTCTGAAATTCAGAAAAACATCACCATCCTGGTCCTGAATAACACAGTCCAAGCTATGATTAGCAATTGGCTTTGCCGGAACTGCATTAGAAATTGTCCAATGTTCAGGAAATGTTATTTCACTCCAAGGAATCATCCTTTCTGTGGCAACATTTGATTTGAACATATTGGTGTCCCATAACGCTGTTACTCATTGAGAGTCTTTGCGCATGGCATTTGGACACATAGTATCAAGTACTTTGTAATGGATGCGATAAATAACACTTATCACTTCCGATCCAGGTAAATAATCATACCCATAGGTCTGAACACGAAGACTAACTGCCTCAAGGATGTTTTTATCTGTTAAAGATAAGTTCAAACTAGGATAGATATTAAAATAAACCGGTCCATGACATAGACTGGTTTCCAGTGCACCCATCAAAGAGGGGTGAAATTTCAGACATCGAGCATCCCTCAGGGTT